TGGTGGCACTTATCGCAACAATAGGGCCGCTTTTTACAACTTGCCACTCAAACCGAAACGTATCTACTGAAAATCGAGAAATTTGTAAACGTTATATCTTGAAAACTAATTAAAATCGAGTGTATACATTAAAACTTAATGAATTCGTCTTGAAAAGCACTATTACATGATCTGAAAAAAAATATATGGTTTCATTTAAAAAACAAAATTTGACCATCGTATCTCTTAAACTAATAATGCAAAAGATTTTTCACTTCGGCCAAAACATATACCCCATTTTACCATGCAATTTTCATATCAACAATTTTTTGTGTCATTAATAGTTACGGAATAAGAGCTCTGTAACAGTTGGGCTGGGACACCCTGTATGTGTTAAATTTTAGAAGAAAATATGTACTTACTTTTTCTTTTCTTTTAAAAACGTTTTAATCATTTGTTTTAGTTAACATAAATATTTTCTAGCTTTAGTTGCGTGTATGTAGTTATACAATAAAAATGTGTAAAATTAGATCAAATTATTAAAAATTATTATGTTATGAAAAGGGGTGAAAAGAAGAATAATTGAATTTTAAATTTTCTTCAAAAATTCAACACAAGTGTTTCATTATTACGTAATAATAAATAATTATATAAACTAATCAAGATTAATTTTTAAAGCAGATATTTATAACAGAGTAATAGAAAAGAAAGAATTATTAATTACAATTGATTTGTTTTGAATGGACAACTTGTAATGATAATGAATATTTTGAAAATACATTTTATTTCTAGTACATCCAAGGTCATTTAAAATTTTTTTTCATTATGCAGTGTAGAACAAGTACAGTACATGCCACTTTGGTATACACAGTCCCAAGTTTATCTACACAGTGGAAGTAGTAATTGGCTATCCAACTCAGTTTACTTTTGAACAATGCAAACAAAGCCTGTAGTGTACTTGAAAATGATTGTCATTTGAGTACGTTGTTGCATATTAATGCAGCAAGCACTAAGTGGATATGATATATCTCTATATATTCAATACCTTCATTAAATTTTGTTATTAAAATTATTTAATTTGAATTCACTTTACTGTGAAAATTCTTTAATTTTCCAAGAAACTTTTTTGCAAATACAATATTTTGAAGAATTTTCAAACTTAATTTTTTCAAAAGGAATTAGCCGCCTCCTAATTATAATTATTACAATTACTAAAATACTCTGTACATGTGAAGTTAATAGACGACGTATTAATAATTTTTTTTTGTTTAATTATATCATTGAAAATGAGTTGTACATATATCATGTATAGTATTAATCTGTACATTCTGTATATGATATATTATAAAAATACTAGAGGTGTGCCCTAGTACCTGTACCTAAGAATGTCGGCTTCAGTTGGATCTAATCGGATCTACTTGCATCTAATCGGGTCAGGAATTTTCCTCAGGATCAGAACCGGTTTTTAAAACAAAATTTTAAGGATTTCACAATTTATTGGGAACCAGATTTCACATCACTTTTAGGATTTCCGAAACAGGGATTTAAAGTATTTACTCATAATCAGATCACGTTTCAAGATACGTTTTGACGAATATGATTATTGAATGGAGATATTTATAAATACTTTGTTATACTGTTAACACTACTCCACTAAAGAAACAAAACAAAATTATTATCAGACAGTGTGAAGTAGTTATTTTTATTTTTATATATCAGTTAATAAAATAAAGTTACAGAATGAACGATATAATGTTTCATGTTTCTTTACACAAAAAGAGTTACAATTTATTATAGTTATAAATTACAAATAAATTATTTGTAATACATTTAATTTAGTATCAATAAAATATCTGCTCATTTATTTTTACTATACATATATGTAAATAATTTATTACTTTTGGTCTCTCTATTAATCCTCGGACGGCGGATCATGGAGAGAGCCACATTTTCTAAATTTTACATTGTTCTTTTAAAATTATTCTTCCAACATATGAAACATTTTCGTTTTAAAATTACACATTTAACTTTGGGTTACAAATACTCTTGTATTTGTTTTGTAAGTACGGAGCACAGATTAACCAAGTTCCTCTGCCCAAGGGTTAATTGTTTAATAAAACCGACGGATATCATGTGTATTATGTTATTATTTACAAATAGGTATTTTTATATACATTTTACCAACAATTTAGTATGTTGTAAATGATCATGGATACTAGCTTATTATAATACAAATTAAGAATAACACTCTATAATTTTTCAGTATAATGTAAATAAATTCTTTGTGTATAATTAACGGCATCTATCTTTCAAACTATTTTACTTTCTTTAATTGTATGATGGAATTAAATATAATATGGACAATCCTTACCATACCCAATATATTAAGTATGTATTGTTTATTTTATATGTTGTTAACCAGTACGAATTTTTCATTAAAATTTATAAAGTTAAGTCTCAGGTATTTTGTTTGTAACTTAATATTTTATTAAACTATTAAGAAAGAAAAGGAGTTTTCAAACTCATTCATTAGGTACATATTTACTTTATGTGTGTTATTTATTTTTATATAAATGAACATTATTTAATTTTCAATTATTTTTAAGAATAATATATAATTATGACTTACGTTTAACATAACAATATTACTTTTAAAAATTTCTGATTACAAATTTGAATTCTAATCAATCAAATTTAATAATTTCCGTATTATTTATTATTCATTTAATATTGATTTTTATCATTTAATTTGTATGTTCTTGAAACGCAAGCACCGCTAATTAAATATCACAATCAGATTAATGCACGCTTTCTTTTATTTGAAGCACTATAATGCAGAAGACAAATTATTGCTTTGATTTTTGTTATAATTAGCGTAATACTTGCAAAATATTATTAGAAAATAAGTTTGAAGGTGTTTTGTTATTTGTAAATATGTATTTCTTTATTAATTTTGCAAAATATTAAGCATATATTTTATAAAAAGTAATTATGTGTAAGTCATATAACATATTTATTTATAATACATTTTATATGAAACTTTTTAGTCTTTTATTTATGTATATGGTGTATGTTCTGATTTTCTGAAAGCTGTGAAACTACACTGTTTAATACACAACAAAATTTAGTAGATGAAAGTTATTGCTTTCCTGAACACAGCCTAATAAATGATTCATAAATGCATTCCTATGTTACAGCAATAAGATTGCTGTAAAAACTTTAGTATGTACTCTTTTAAGAAAGCAAAACATTTCCTAATTAACCTAACCATATTATTAAGCAGTACTTTAAACACAAATTCTGAGGCCAATAAATAAATGATTTAGGTATATGTGATTCATATTTTTAATTTCTAAAAATGCTTAAAATTCAATTATACATACATCACTTCAAAACACTTTTCAGATGATATATATTTAAATAAAATGTAAATATATATCAAAAACATGTAAGAGTCATCTAGATAATAATAAATAATTATTGTAACGTTTACAAATCATTTATCATTTTTAATATATTTTGTATTAGATGTTATATTATACAATCCATTTAATAACTCAATATTAATATATATAATGATTAAATTAATTATTATAAGTATTATGTAACTGATAGCTAAATATTGGTGTATTTAAAAACTAAATTTTTATTTAAGGAACAATTTCAAAGATTGAATGATATGATAATTCCTTTTATCAACATACATTACAAATATTTATCAAATAAAGGTATAGCTGTACACTTTTATGTGTAATTTATATAATAAAGTAATATATCAATTTTTAAGTCTTTTTTTTGTTCTTTTTTCAATTTCATTTTTTAAGAAATTAAATTTCCAGGTTGTACTATATGAAATTTTATTCAAATATATTATGTTACTACTGTATTTGTTAAGTTGTAAAAATAGTCATCTGGAAATAAACTTGTTAGTTTCTCACATTGAATGCAGTCATCTTCAACAGCCAAGATATTTAAAACATACGAACCAAAATATGCTAAAGTAAACGTTGTATAATACCAACCATTTCTCATTCATTTGCATCTTTAAATATACGTATGCAATTAGGAATCTACTAATAGACTAAAAATAAAAGTCTAAATCAGTGGATGTTAGTGTACACAACATTTATTACATATTAATACAATAACTTATGTTATATAGTATTAATATTATTGATTTATTATAATAAACCTAATATTATTATCAGTTATTTAATGTTTAATGATATTCATATTTTTTTTGATTCAATCAATGAATGCATGATTTTATTTTATTTTGGAAGAAAATACAAGTTTATATAATAAAAAATATTTTTCTATTTTGGAAATTTATTCTAAGAAGAGCTGTATAATATTGCAAATTTGCAACATCATGTAATACAAAATTTATAGTTACCTGCCAGTGTTTAAGAAATACAAAATTTTAGCACAGTTGCTAAAAATTTTATAATTCTTTATAAAATTGTAGTTACAGAGATCATTATAATAACTGTGATATTAAAAGAAATAGTTGTAATTTCCAAAAGAGTATGTCTTAATAATGAAATGAAACCTGAAGAGGAGCAAAAGTTCTGCTGCAGAACTTTAAAAGAAAGAATAACTGAATTATTTTTCCCTAAAATTTAAAAAATGTTCCATTGATTGGATCAGAAGAAAAGTAATAACATGCATGTGATTATTTAAACAAAAACTTTTTGTATAAGACAAAGCTTGTAAGATAATATGTTAGGCATTCGTTATAAGCGAATAATAATTAATACAATTAATCATAATTTATTAATACAAAGAATACTTATTTAATAATTAATATATATGTAATCAGATTTAAATCTTTGAAGGACTATCTATTTTGTAGATTTGCTATTTGTGCTGCTTGTAAATTTGTCACTTTTCATTATTTATTGCTTCATTATTATGGAACACGAGCTCATCACTTATATATAATATTTGTTGCATTTTATTATTATAAAATCATAATTTCTTTTTGGAATTATTATATACATGGTTGTTTTTTATTTCAGTTTTATGTAGCAGTCGGGTGAGCCAAATGACCAAGACCTATAATGACATAGAAGCAGTTACAAGGCTTCTAGAGGAGGTAAATGTGACTATTAATATATAATTAACTTTATAATACTTCTTCCATCCATTGTAAACCATATTATGCTATGAAACCTTGCCATGTTATTGATTGAAAGTATAGAATCATATCATTCAGAATTATAAATTGCTCAAAATAATTGAGGATGTTTCTGAAAAAGAGCTTATTGCTATAAAGTACAGATATAAGTAGTATTTATTAAATACTCAATTAAGTATTCAGTGTTCTTCAATACTCAATCTCAGAAAATATAACTAAAATTAGCATAATCTTCAATTGCTGTTACATTAATAAGAATAGTTTTTTGTTACTCTTTTTGCTATTTTTGTTATGTAAATAACAACTGGTGACTTGCACTGATTTGAGATCAAAGTCGAAACATGAAGATACTATGAAAAGATATTCGTAAGATATACTCGTAAGATATTAAATAAACATATCAAAGAAATCATTTCAAAGTTTCTTCTTTTCATTATCGAAAGAAGGCCCCATGTGTTTTGATTGATATTGCTAACACGTTCCATGTTACATGGGTTAGCAATGGCTCGCGACATTTATCAAAGATACATTCTTAACCCTTTCACTACTGACGTCTCTACAGGAAAATGCTTCTAAACGTTTGTACACTGCTACTCAAAAGTTTGGAGCATATTGTGATTTTCAAAAACATCATGTTTTCCATAAATTACTGTTATCCCCTTTCAACCCAAATTTTTCTTAATTGATAAACGAAATTTTTTTTGTTAAATTTTATGTCTTAAAATAGTAATTATGACAACATTAATATTAACAGTAATTTTAAAAAAAATAATACAACTTTTAATTATTAAATGTTATAAAATTTAGTATATAACTGAAAAGTACGAATAACAATATTAATTCAAATTTTCCCGCGTAAACATTTATATGCAAGTGGTGGTCCGCCACAGACCTATTATAAAGTATAGGGCTCCTTTTCTATATGTCATTTTCTCCATGGATGTCTATAGGGAGGGGTGGTCATTTGGAGCATCACTATTTTTCATGGGGAATCCTGATATGATTGTGAATGTACATTTAAAAGGAATGTTACCATATAGTAACACTGGGGTGAAAAGGATTAAATAAAAAGCTACTGTTATTTGTTTATATAATAATGAGTTCAAAACAATTTAGTAGGCCATAAACATTAAATTATAAAATCAAATTACAAAACATAAATATTTATATTAGTAATATTTAATTATTAAATATTTGGTTAAATTTTCTCTATTGGAATTACAAGATTTTTATTTATTATTAGGATGATTAATTGATTTTTAAAATTGAAGGAAAGGAATTTTTATATAACAATGTTTTAATTAATATTCATCTATTGCTCTATAGAATGAAGGTTCATATTATTAATATTTATTTATTAAATATCCGGTTAGATTTTCTCTAGAAAAATTAAAAGATTTCTATTTATTTCATGTTTAATCATTCGCTTTAAATTTCACACGACATGGAACGTGTTAACGACGTCAATGTATATTTTCACGGAAAATTCCACTTGCAAATTAATTACATCGCTGTACCTAAACGATCGATCAAATGTAGGTATTAGAAACTATTGTGATTACCAACCACATAATATTTCACAGTAACTGTATAGAATATTTAATAGGAAATCTAATGATTTTTATTTAGTTCCAATTTGAAATTTGAATAGTTAAATTACAATTGAGATTTGTACGAAATTGTATTATACATATATGTATTACTATCAAATGTTTTACTCATGCATTTTATAATATATTATTTGACAAATACATATTATTCTATTGTTTTCCTTTAATTATTCAAGTACACGTAATTTGCGATGCTGCTCACGTCATTCAACGTGTTAATATAAAGTGCGAGGAGTGTAATACAAATTAGTTCCAACTATAGAGTCAGTTACAAAGCGGAAGTAAGGCCCCCCCAAGGTATTGACCTCTAGTTGCATTAACAGCGCGGCAATTTCAAACCTTTTCAATATAAAGTTGGAGTAAAGAATGAAAACAAACAAGAAAACTGTTATTTTCTATAATAATTATTACTTTTACTTTAGTCTTTGCAATTAAACAATGCACCTATTTTAATTTTTAGAAAGAGAAGGACTTGGAGCTGACCGCACGTATCGGTAAAGAACTTTTATCGCACAACCAAAAACTTGAAACCACGGTCACCAGTTTAGAGTCCGAGTTAAAGGAAGCCAATGAAAGAATCACTCAACTCACGCATGAACTTTCGAAGAAGACAGAACTAATTCAAATACTTACCAATGATGCAGAAGAAACAAGCTCCGAAGCCAGCACGCCCACCGGAATACGTGGCATTAATTTGGACATGATGCAGAAAAAGATCAGTTCCCTCGAAGATGAAAACAAACAATTGAGAACTGAATTTGCTAGGCTAATGCAAGATGCTGATCATTCAGAGGAACAGGAAGCTAAACTTGTCAAAGATATCGCAGCTCAACTCGGTTAGTCTGTCTAAAATAAGTATAGACACGATATAGATCAAAAGAAGTGTTTATCATAACTTAAATTAATCATGTATTTCTAATAATATCAAGTCCAGTTTTCATTGACTTTCTTTTATTAAAAGAAAGAAGATGAAAATATAATTTTGTTAAGCACTATACGTATTGATAAAAAGTTTTATAACAGACAATATTCAAAACCAAAAATAATGAATCATTATAGCACTATAATACATGTGATGGATAGATCATGTCCATTAGACTATGACATTATTTGTATTTATCATTTATTTATTATCTTTCTTCGTATATTATATAAAAATTTCAATTAGAAGGAAGGAAAATAAATAATAGATATTACACTAACATAATTCAAGAAAAATAATTTAAGCTACTATTTTTTAAATATCATTATAAATGATAATGGATTAATATATTATTTTATTTTAAGTTCCAATTCAATAAACCTGGCTCTATTATTAAAAATAGTTTAAATGATGCACAAAAGTTGAATGTGAACTTTTATTATAAATCGAATCACAGTTTATAATTCTTTATATTAGCAAATTAGGTAATGTTTGATATATAACTAAAATATATATTTTATTTACAGCAAGTGCAAACATGGAAGTAGATGGAATAGCAGATGAACTTGATAGGCAGAAAGAAGAGAATAGATTACAGCATGAACAGATTGTTAGTTTGACTGCAAAATTAGCTGAAGCTGAATTGAGACTGGCACAATTAATTGCTGAACATGATGAAATGGGAACTACTCTACTTATCACCAGGGATAATCAAAACACCCTGGCGAGTGAGCTGGCCGAATTCAAAGATCGATACGCAGAGGTGTGTCCTCAAGCTAATAGAAATTATTAAATTGCTTTTACTTCATTTCTTCTTCTCCTTGTGGCGTAGAATTTTTTTATAAACAGCAAATCGATAATGATCAAAACTAAACAAATTATTAGTATGAATGTAGTAATTTTAATAATTTCATTCTCATTGGAATGATGAGCTTAACAGAGAAAAATAATCTTATTAAAATTATTTGTTTTATAAGGTGGTGAATTTATTAGCTGAAACCCAAGAACAACTTCGAAAACAACGAAAGAGAGGAATGCCAACAGTCAGAGGAGGATCTTTATTCCCTTCAATGGGTGCTGCTCCGCAACCAGATTCTATTGCTTCAGAGTTAGAGTCGTCTCTTTATTCCGAGCTCAGCTTAGATTCTGGAATCAGTACTGATAGGATGTACGTTTTTTCTTCATCTTTCATTTATATGAAAAGCAAGAAATATAATCATGATTTTATGTTTTATATTTTAAAAATCCTAATATGCGTCATGCTTTTTCTTCTTATCTTTATGATGACTAATATATGTAGTAGTTACTTAAGGTTTGCAAATAGCAACTGTGTAGTTTATTTTTATAACTATTACTACATTGCAATTTTTGCCGCAGTACTACGTCTTTTAAATTTATTATTGGTTGCTACTAGTTTTACATTCTTTAATATCTTTGATTCAAATGATTTAAAATAGATTTTGATTTGCTTATGCATTTTCAGATTATAATACATAAAGATTAAAATAAATTGTAGGAAACTTATTTAATGAATTCTAAATGTTTTACAAATTTTGTCATTCTTAATGTTTACAATTTGACATTATCACTATTTAGATTTGCAATAGTACACTTGCTTTTATAAGAAACATATTCTCTGTTCTGTGTTTTATTTTAATCAACCTTTTTTACATGCCGTAGACCAACTTACAAGAAGGTTTTCGAAACGGTCAGGAGCGCTTCAAGAAATTCTTATGCAGCTGATAGCAACCAGTTCCCAAGAATAGGTTCTATGACTACGTCAACGTTGTCAAGTGGCTCTACTGGACCACGGATGAGTTGTGGACAAATTCGACCTCTGGCTTCTATGTATCCTAGTTTAGACTCTACTGGACAAAGCGATTCAGAAGGCTCCCTTATCACAGATTCTGAGGAATATCCGTAAGTTTTATGTTTTTATTATTATTATTATTATCATAAGTAAAATAAGAATTGATGATATTTCAATCCTTCATAAGTATTTCTCTTTTAACTCCTAAAGTATTAAATTATAAACTGAATCTTCTTTTTTGGAAACTTGTAGTGGTCCACAAAAAACTGGAGTACCTGGGGCTCCAGGAGCGGCGGACTTGGAGGCAGCTCTTCGTAGATTGACACCTGCAGAAGTTCTCACAAGGCGTGCTTGTCTTAGCACCGGTACAGGATACAGTTACGATTATGATGCTGGAACTCATTCACCCTCGACTTTCGTACCGCTAGGTTGTAGAACTCCTGATAGTATTATGTCCACGGGAAGCAGTGGAAACTTAAGTGGTTACAGTGGAAATTCTTGGAGAATTCCTGAGAAATTGCAAATAGTTAAACCTATTGAAGGTTCGCAGACGTTACATCATTGGTCTCAATTGGCCACGCCAACTTTAGGTAATTTTATATTAAGATATTTTACAGAACTTTGTTAAATATTCAAGAAATGTCAGTTTAGTGATATTTCTTTTATTATTAATTCTATTATCTTTTTATTTAAAATATTACTGTTGTATTTTTAAGGTGGCCTTTTGGAAGAACGACCAGGAGTGAAAACACGCGGAGGACGCGGCTTGGAAGACTTAGGCCTTGTCACTTTCACTTTAAGCGACCTTGAAGAAGATGAAGAATACACAAACCCTGGAAAACTGTTTCAAGATACCGGTTCCATATATACATTTACTAATAGTACTGTACTTCATCCCGATGATCACACCAGTGTAACTCCAAGTATTGTAGGAAGTAGAGTTGCAACTGCACCGAGTAGTGCTTTAAATTCTGGAATGAGTACTCCACGAACTTTAAGTAGGAGGAACTCAACTTCGACATTTTCAACGACCCTTGGACTTGCGAAAATGTTAAACGAACGAGGTATTTATTGAATAAATTTATAAATACATGAATCATCATATATCATATTCATTTTTCAGTTACAATAATTAAACTTTTATGTTATTAAAATAGGCATAAAAGCAGTGACACCTTCTTCTGTGAGAACGCCAAGTGAAGAAAGAAATTTTACGCCTACTGCGACACCTTGCAATAGTCCTGATGCTAGTCCCCCAGAAAGCCGATCTAGTTCACCAATTCGAGACAGTGGACTTTCTTTGGGATTGTTATCCAGCGGAGCAGAATTATTGAAGAGGACATTTGGTGGAGAGCCAGAGGTATGCAAAGATATTTTTATAATATATGCCATAGTTAGAGAAGTGGACACTCTTTGGTGTCACAAAATCGATTTTTAAACAATTCTTTTATTGGATAATAGATAATATTTGAAGGCAGAATCTATAATTAAAGCAATTTTTCGGGTGCTATGAATGGGCTGAAAATGCTTGCAAAAATTTTAGAAAAATGTTTCCTCTGTAAAATCACGTTTTTCGGCGTTCATGTTTCTTTTTCTCTTTCTCTGTAACCATTCGACCGATCGAGTTGAAATTTTGCATGCTTTTACTACTAAGGGTAACACATATTTTAGCCAAAGACTTTTTTGAAATTCTACCTAAAGCTAGATTAGCAGCATCTTCTAGGTTGAAGGTAAGAGTACAAAAGAGTCCATAATTTGATAAGCTCATATAATTTTTTCTATTCGGTATTTCAACATTCTCTTTAGCTAAAACACATATATAGTATGATACTAGATGCTCTAAAAATTTGAAGTTGATAGCTGCTGTAGATTCTGAGAAAAAGGAATATGAAATTGGCTTATTTTCCATATACCACAGAAAATTCCCTTCCCTTTAAGCAATACGTTGATTTTATATAAAAATATCTGTTATAAAATCTTTTATTTAATTAATAATTATATATGAATTTTGAACTGGACAAGATCTGGAATAGAAACTATAAAAAATGTTATAAAACAAGAAGTAAATATATCAGCGCTAATCAGTACATGGATATTATTTATGTAATTTATTAAATTCAAAAATAAGAATTTAGATTTTCAAAATTAAACACTATTTGCTGACTCGAAATGTATGCTTTATATGTGAATGTATGTTTGTCCATAAATGTTAGTTTATTTTAATACAAATTATATCTTTCAGCACGTACAAAGGAAGCGAACGGTGATCTCCAGGTCCGATAAAAAAGCACTTACCAGTATCCGTTTAGTAGAAAAGCTTGAGAGAATTGGTATTGATACGATAATGGCTACAACAGTTGGTTCCTCCATCTCTCCATTAGCACTTCAAGGTTCTCTGTATACCAGGCGTACCATGGAAAGTCCTATGGCTCAATTAACCTTCCTGAAAAACTCTATGTCCTCGAGTGGAAGTCAAGAGAAACTTTCACCTTCTTCCACTTCAAGTGATTCGTCGTCAATGAAACGAAAATTGATTGGAAAGAAACAAGACGAGTCTATACCAAACAGAGAACCAAACCGACAAAGGAGAACTGGTGCTAGGGCCACAAGACCTGATCTCGGACAGGTTACACCCGCAGTTCCTGTCACAGTTACAAAAGAATCTCCTGCGCAATCAGCTTTGGGAACTATTAGCTCGTTTCTATTTGGACGAAAGGGTGGATTACTTTGAAAGCATTGTTTATTGTGCGTTAAATAATTTATGAGAACTTCGGATAAGGTTTTAATTGAAGGTAATGGAAGATTGTCGGAGCGGTGGTAAAATGGACAATTTCATATTTTTTGTTCAATTTGCTTCATAATATTATTTAACGAATATTATAAATGAATTTCTTTTGTAATTTTTCAATTTTATACATAAATTTTAACCTATAAATATAAGGTGAAAAGAAAATAGATTACATTTTCAAGTATAATCAAAAATGTAAACCAAAATGCATTATAAACAGTAGGTCATTTATTATCTTCATATTATGATTCTAATCATAATTTAGTCGAATTACAATATTTATTAAATTGTAAGCAGATCAAATACGCAGCTCTTTTATGATACCTTTATTTAGGTATACTGCGGGTGTTCATTACAGGGATATAATATTGCATATAAAATTTCAATCATTTAATGTTATTCTTCCAATAATTTACATCATCCTCGGCCTAATTGATAATATTAACTCCTTTGCCATCTTTACATACAAATAGTATCAGTATAAATGATCAGTACTATTTCATAATAGTAAACATTCCTTTAATATTGTTAACTGTTTCTTTTCCTTTTATTTTCTTTTTAAAGTTCAGTGTGTTTTTCTATACATGTACCAGAGAATGTTTCAAATACTACTTTTATTATAAAGTATAAACTTATAAATGCATATTTTTTAAATCTGTGCTACTTAAATATGAAAAATATTATTTGTAGTAAGAAAATCGACCTAGTTTATTCCAAAGCTTACAGTATTATATTTACTTATATAACTTGATAGTTATAATTTTTTAAACGTTTATTTTTTCAACGCTCCGACGATCTACAGTTATAGAAAACGTGAACAACATGTTTGTTAATTTTAATTTTACACGACAGCTATTTCACTGTGGATACCTTTTTTTTGGTAATTGTTTGTTGCAAGTATATTTGAAAAAAAAGCCAGAAAAAAATATCCTTTAGAATGATTTAATTGAACAATGAATTTGTAAATGGTTATTTTTAGTATTCATGGTTAAATGAAGGTCAATCTAGGTGCGTGATAATAAATAATTTCAAGTTATTAGTTTATACATACGTAAAAATCAAATGGGAATAGGAAAGTGTACCATATAAATTAATTTGTATTGTGTAGAAAATAACATAATGTTGTAGTTCATACTTAAAACTAGGTAGAATGTTTCAGCCATGTAATTATGAAATTCTACATTTTATTTAATGCGATTTTTATAAATGATATTGGCATTTTTATTATTTTTTGATAATTAAGTTCTTTTTGTGAAAACATTTCATTCACTTGTTCTTTGACATGCATTATATTTTATTACTTAACAAATTTAGTTTCTGAAAGCCGCAAATATTAATAATTCATACATGGAACAAAATTAGTTAGCTTTAAATTTGTTTTATCATTTTGATACTTAGTTAGTTTTTAATTTGCGCGCCAAAATGCCCAAAAACGATGGTAGAAAAATTACAAAAAAAAAGCAACGTTAATAATGCATGTAAAAATGACTACACATTTAGTCAACCGTGATAAAGATCACTTCATAAAGAAGTGATAAAGATTGTGTAAGAACATATGATCAACTCAAAATAGTAAAGAAAAAAAGTATAATAAAAATCGCAGTGAATTTTGTAAGTCGAAGCACAATTTTTAAAGACAGAAGTTTTAGGGTGCTTTCAATTGTGTTCTTTTCTTTTAATGAGTTTAAGAAATTCATCATTAATTGATCAATCATGTTGTAAAGTAATTAGTTAATTGTGATACTATTGTTAGTCTTTTGCAAGAGACCTCACAGTTAGTATTGAAAATTAATTAATTATTCGTTAATTGATCAATGAGTGATTATTGATTGATCATTGATCGAAAAGGGATATTTTTATTTCCTGACTAGTTTTTAATCTGATAGACTGTTTGTAAATATTTAATAATGCCATAATAAACATTTGTTTTGATGTTTATATTTATATTATGTCGAGCAGGAATATTTCGATTAGAAACTTGAATATGAGTGATAAATTGTATTAACAATTGTATATTTTTTGTGAATTGATTGATCAATAATCAGTCGAACTATAATTGATCAATTATTATTTTTGTATATAGTAGTAGTCTAGGATTTCCCTTTTATTATTTTGTCTCTTTTTTTTTAATCGGTTGCGATTAAAAAAATTGATTGCAATGTATTGAGTGAGTTTGGTGATGAAATGCAATTTTATTAATAAATGGACCTCTGTCTTGTATCATAGAAAGGATTGTTTAGCAGGCGCAGTCTTGTACATAGACGAGTACAGGTTAATAAATAAATTAAATTTAAAAAAAATGTTGATATTTATTTTCCTTCCATTTTTAAACACTATTGTTCCATTATATTAATATTTAAAGTAATTTAAAAAACAAATAATGTAGTTTTTACAGTCCAGGGCATTGCTATTTTCCAAAGAAATCTTACCATGCTCGCTAGTGTGTCGAAGATTAAACACAGTAATAATAAATTTTAATAGTTATAACAATAATTTAATTAATAAAGAATTTTAGTAGAATGATATAAAATTCGACGTTGAATTTATATAGTGTTGATGGTCGTATGCAGTGGTGACAAATCGTGTTACGCGTTGTTTCGGAAACATTTTTATTACGATCCGGTATTTTGGACGGATCTGCACAATAATGCGTGGATCAGTGGCGAATGTGTTTTTTCTATGTGGCGTCCGTCTTTATTCGTTACAACCACTTTACATTATGACCACGTGGTTTTTGCCGTTGGTCGCCCACGTTCGTCTACGCAGCCGCTAATGCATCGCGGAAACCTCCGCCTAATAGTCTTCGGACGTCCGTTTCCACGGGCTGTTCAACCTCACCGGTGGATTTCTCTGCAACGGTGTTTGCGTGAAGACAAAACGTCACCGGCGCCCTTCTCTGCGTGGGTGTTTGCGTGAAGCCAACGTCACTGCTGTCTTTCTCTGCGACGGTGTTTGCGTGAAGCCAACGACACCGGCGCCTTTTCTGGGGACCGCAGCATTTCTTCTTCAGGATCTTCAGTGGTATAAATAGTTTGAGATTTTTTGCGTCGCGGAAGGCGTCCGTTAAAAATTGACGCCACTTTGAATTCTGAATGTGGCTAGCAGTGTCCGTTGAGGATCGACGCCATGTTGAATTTCGAATTTCGCATTTCGCATTCCCGCCATCGTTGGTAGCCAACGCCATGTGTGACACTATGATTGATATTGTATACATAATACAATATCAATCATAGTGTCCGTTCGTCTAGTGAAAAAGCACTGACTTTGGAGTCCAAGTTTAACCGCAGCAAATGTCATAAATCTAACTATTTAATAAAAGCGTTAAAGTAATTAACATAATCATCTGATAAAAGCTTTCGAATATTCAATAATTTAGAATTTCAATAATTTATTTGAAATTACAAAATACACTAGACGAACGGACACTATGATTGATATTGTACATATTGCTATCGTAGCATCCGTGTGTCATTTAGGTGTATGCGAAGAGTGACGTAGAATAGCATGCCGTTAGTTGGATGCAATAACTGAGGTAGCGCTGAAATCAGTTTCTGTTCGGCCTAATTTTCGATGAAACGTTGACTGTTTTACCGATGCGGAATTCGAAGTTCGGCCTCGACGCTGCTGTCTATTTGTAAGATAGGAACAGTAGGATTGAGTAGGATATACGTTGAATAATCAATCTTTACTATTTAAATATACAAAAATTTTATACATACTTTACCTTTGTCACTACCTCAAATTTAGTTATAAAAGATACATTTTAACTGTTAATAAATTAGAAACAAAAATAAAAAAAAACATGAAGAAATTAACATGTCATTACGTGGGTGCGTTTGATGCATATTATAGTTCCGGAATATCAAATCTGTTTCCACGTAAGCAATAGACGCGTTTAAGAACTTCTGTCATCTCGAACAGTGTCCAGTGTGGCATACGCACCGCGTTATATACTTGTTCAAACATTTGTAACAAATCATCTATCATATTTTTGTTAAATACAATTCCTACTTCCGCCATATGAGCATATTTAGGATAATTTTGTAACGCACGAAGAGCTTCTATTCCTAAACTGGATTCCTGTTAAATGGAGAAATATTATGGAAATAAATAGCAAATATAAGAAAGTCTTTCGATACGTACTTAATTATTAATTAACTCACCTTACTTGACTGTAATTTATAAAATAATGGCCAGTCTTCCACACAGGCTACACAATCACAAGTGAAGCAATAGTCCTTTAGAAGTTCCATGTGTCTCATGGATTTTGATAACATTGCATATAATGGACCGTAGTTATCAAATATCTTGTGAAAATTAATTGTTTTATCAATAAAAATGAAACTCATCGTAAATAATCGTTCACAGAATACGTTTTTGTACCTGTTCATCTTTTTTGATAGGATATATTGCATAAATAATCATATGCCCAGTCCTGTCAACTCTTAGAATGTTTGGGTTACAACTGTGATTAATCAGACTAAGAAATGGCATAAGTGCTCCACCATAGCTTCTCCCATTCAGTCCATATTCTTCCGAAATCTATAAATATTAATTTCATTGTTAAATAATAAATATAATCTTTGCCGCAAATTTATTATATGTATATATTACAGTATGAGAATTAATAAAGATCAACTGCAGATGCCTTAGTATAAGCCCCCCAACAAAGATAGCATCAGTGTTTTCTACTAATTCAGATAAATCTTTCATTGAACTTCCAAATATATCAGTACATGTTGCTAGGTAATACAATGTGAAACTAGCTTCTGCAGATCTTCTAAAGAGATCTTGTAATGACAGTTTTTCAACGTTAGTAACCAAACTTAATACACTTCTGTACGCATCACTTTCAAATGTTCCATTCTTTGAAAATCCCTTTGTACGAGGATCTAAAATAATAGATAATGATGACCAATAACTTTTTACAAAATTATCCCAGATACTTACTATCACAATTTTCAATTTCTTTTAGTTCTTCTTTTAAGTTCTGTATGTTATTGCTCTCTCTTATTGCCTGAATAGTAAGTCTTACACTAAGGAAATACAGAAGCGTAAAATTCATTTTAAAATAGTAAGGAAATACCTTACATTCTATGTCATGATATTTACTCCAGTCCGAAGCTTTACATTCTTCTGAACAATACATAGCATATGTACAATAGTTACAAGGTATATTAATCCAGCATACTTCCAAACAATTTGAACAATGCGTCTGTAAATTGTCAGGCTTCAACATAAATAAATAAGGTTTTTCTATAGCAATTACTTCACCAACATTTATGTTACGGGTAGCTACAATGTGTCTGCCATATTTTTCATTATATTTTATAGTTATCGCATCGGAGGCACAAGGAGCTTCAGTGTTGCATATCTTTAATTTAGGCAAAGGGGATTGTTTCATGATAGTTTGGTTTTTTGATGTATTTGATACCGATATTTTTTTGGCAGAAATGAACATATTATTTATTTTTTTATCATTCAAGGACATGCTGTCCAGCCAATTTTGCGCTTCTTTAATAGCATCTTCTGTTTTGGGATGTTTTAATATACTTAAACACTCAATTTTTCTTAAATATAATTTACTTCTTAAATTATTTGGATATGGTAAGGCTAATGCTCTATCTATGTCTTCAATACATTCTTTGTATTTGTGTATTTTTTTTAGAACAGCAGATCTATTAGCATACGCCAATGCAAGTTGTTCAGATGTACAAGGTGCATACGCTATACTTTTTGTATACAGTTTTAGTACATCGATACACAGAGAGCTTGTTAATGATTCTGACATATATTTTTCATTTCCTTGCTCTCTTAATTCTGTAGATTTCTTTGTATTTTTTCTATCTGGACATACTTGAGGAATCATATCATATTCTAGCATAAGCTTAAGAAAAAATCTTACACGTTCCTCATTTGCACGTAAAGTTTTGAATTCATTAAATACATCTTCATACTTATCTGCAGCATATATTTTTTTATATAATAAATCCAGCAATTCACGCATTTTTTCTTGTGTAACGTGTAATGTTATCAGTGACTATAGATTGCTATAGATTTCTCAAAGCTCTCTCTGCTCTATCCTAATATACAGCTGTTGCGTGTGGATTTAATGTTCTAGGGATTTTTTTTTATAATATGCCGAACGTGGGTAAGGTGCCCGTGAAGCGCTGAAGCGCTCTGCTCGCGGCGCGGCTTTTAATAAATGAAAACACCTTGCGTTTTAAAAAATATTTTTTGATAATAACTTTATTATTTCCTTTTCAAAATTTATATCCAGACGGGTTGAAGCTTTGAATCGTTCTGAGCTTGGCGGTGAAGATCTTCGATCGATGTTGGCTGCCATCCCCTCCTCGCTGGATCCTGAATCCTCCCTCAGGATCATCCCTGGCCCAATGGTGGAGGAGCCCATCCTTGTCCGGAGGCGGTCCCTCTCCCTGGTTTCGGTCCACCCTCAGGCGAGTGGAAGATGGTGGTGCTCCGCCAAGACTCGAGAACGATTCCATGCACACGTGCTAAGAGAAAGTGTGGGATCCAGAGAGAACGAAAGATAAAAAGGTCTCGCGCTAGCGAGCCAAGGCAACCCTTAAGAAAATTTACGACCCTCTGTAAATAAGCAGGATGTCGAAGAGACTTCGACAGTTTCAAGAATCAACATGATTTTCGTTAAGAGTAACGAATTAGATACGGCCCGCAATAAATTAGTTTCTTAGAAACTTCAAGTGTGACAGTCTTATTTCTCCGGATTTCCAACTCTCTCCCAGCACGACCACCCGCGCTGAACGATTTACAATGTCCTATCTTTTGTTTGTTTATTACTTTGAATTTTGGCTCCTAATTTATGAGCATTGATATAACATAATGCAGACATGCTGCAACCATACTCTTATGGCATTGTCGCCATATTACATTTCATTCAATGCTTGTGATTACAAGTTTGCAGCTAAATTCACACGATATTGCACACATACATACATACAGGCGAGGTTCGCAACATGTGGAATACCGCTCGCCATCTAGTGGATGATTCTCAAACTATACTCCAGCGGTGAAAAAGCGCATGCGCGCCTGCAGGCGGTAAGAGCGCATGCGCAACGGGGATTCACATATCATAAATCACTTTTTTAATAGCAAAATAACATTTTAATGAAAAATCGGTAGATTTTATTATTGCTAAACCCTCTGGGGAGCATGAAGATGATGTAGTTAAAAGTTTGTAGCGATTGGTTCAGTAGTTTTCGCGGTTAGCGGTTTCAAACTAAAAGGGGGCTGTCCTTTCATATAATAGTAGGATTTAGTATTCATTTAGTTATCCTCTCCTATTTTCAGGTATATTTTATTGCATCATATATAGATTTACATAAATTATTATAATGTATTTCATCGTGAAAAATATTTTCCTCGTCGAATCAGTTTTAAAGCAATTTAAATTTTTCCCGCGTTTTGGAACATGGTGGCGCTGAGATCTTGAATCGCGACCTTGTATCCTGAGTTGCATTGAACTTGTCGCAGTGAAGTTGGCTACAAATTCACTAACACATTCACGCTGCGTCGGTGAGACGATGGGCGAGATCGACTGATCGACTCACCGACGCGGTGAGTCAACTTCACTGTGACAAGTTCAATGCAACTCAGATACAAACATTGCATCAATTTGTAGCCAACTTCACTGCGACAAGTTCAATGCAACTTAAATACAAACATTGCATCAATGGGAAAAGTGGGGGCCGTTAGCAGTCCATAGGTATACAGGGTGATCGTCTCGTAGCCGGACACAAAGAAACTGGCGACAATGCACCCCTTGACCGCACCATGAAGACACACAGAGCCGTCTCGGACCGGGTAGGTCTCCGCTAGCACGTTACAATGCGGATCTCTTTATGGTGCGGTCAAGGGGTTCATTGTCTCCAGTGTTCCGTTGTATCCGGCTGCGAGAGGATCACCCTGTATAATCAAAGGTACCGACACTAACGATGAGTGAGCCTACTGTTCTTTTTTATACTGTGGCCTGGTGGTGTCTAGGACCCCAAAATTATGATCCCGCGCGAACAAACGCGTGACCAGTCTTGTACAATCTGTAGTCACTGTTCTATTTCAAGCATCAATAAATTAGTGTATGTTGTAGAATGTTCTTACATTTTAACGTATAAATGTTAAACCATATTTAAAATTGTTAACTAATGCATTTGTTTCTAATCCTGTGGATAAAAAGTAGTATTTGAAAATAGGTATGTAATTTATAATCTTTTTGCTAGAAAGTATCTATAGTGTTAAACGTTTGATAATTATTATTATTTAAAACAAAACTTGTACAAATACAAATAATATGAATATAATTCTTAAAAACAGAGATGTGATTTTATTTAGATTACTTTATTGTAATATGTTTTGAATGTTTGATAACAAAGCTGTTTCTAGGTTATACTTGATCTTACATTAGATAAAACTTAACCCTTAACTGGTGACATAGGAATCTTATCTCAATTCCACTTAGTATAATAAACTTTCAATGTGTAATTATGTTGCAATAATTATTATTTTATATTAATTAATAATTTATATTTTTACTCATTTATTCTGTATATTTGTTTGAAAATAATTTTTTTAAAATATATTTCGATGAAAAATTGTTAACTAATGCAATATAATGCAAAATATTGAGTCATATCATTGTGGTGGATATTCCATTTTACTCCTTCCGTAGTAGTATTCGTTATTATTTTAGGTAAAAATTTTTTAAATAAATGTTACTATAATTGAAAGGAAAATATTAAGGTTAATATTGCCTTATTTCATATGAAGTTATTACAAGATTTAAGTTTCTGATATCAGAATTTGTTCTATTAATTTTAAATAAGTTTAAAATTCTTGCATTAAATTCAACTTTTAATTTGTTTATTGCATTCTAATGTAAGATAATTTAGTATAAAAAAGAATAAGTCCAAAATTTTTTCAATGTGGGATTGCAAAGAGTTAATTAAAACTACATATCTTTTTTGTGTAAGAAGAAACAAATTCAGTGTATTATGGTGTTAATATTATTCAAGGTTCTTCAAGGTCAAATATTGTTAAAAATGTAAAAAACTGTCTTAAGTATTATGGTAAAACTTAAATGTGAAAGATTTAAAATCAAATCTGAAAGATTTTTTTAAACCATTATTGTATTTAAAGATAACGACATAAAAAGATTAAAAGTGAATGAATTCATAAAAAATTTGGGAAGTTTTTATTGAAATAAATTATTCCTGTTTATTTGTACTTAACAGGTTTTATTACAGATAAAACTATCTACATGCATGAAATAAATATTTATTATTTCAGGAATTTATATTAAGTTAATGCAGTAAATAGCAAAATATAACTTTATCAAGATGATCTTAACATTTTTCTACCTGATAGCGACATCAATTCAGTCCAGAAGAATTTTATTTTTAAAAACACATTTGTACAAATTGTTTCAAGGAAATACAATCAATTATCCATCGGTTATGTTTTATAACAAAGCATCGTTAAATTCTTGCAAAGGTAATGTATACAGTGAAATCATATAATGTAATATTATATAAAGCAGTATAATACGATTGTAATATAGTACAACACTTTTTCTTTACTTTTGATGATATTAGATGCTTTAATTGTTATATTTTTTTAAATACTTTCAAAATTATTTGCATATTTATGTAGTACTATAAACATTACACAAATACCTTTTAATGCTGTTTGGTAATTAATATAAAATTCAAGAAAGTAAATAAAGAAATTTCATGTGTAAAAGTTTGTACGTGTATAACAATTTCAAATTTTGGGCAACGTATACTTTGTGGAATAATATGAAGCCATTACAGGCCATGCAAGGTTGCACAAGGTTTAAATAATAAAGTACCATGATTTTGGATGTAAGTTTTGTATTTTTACTTTTTTATTTAATTCAGCAGCGCACATGTGAAAATTCTTTAGGTCCCTTCCTTTATAAAATATTATTATTTTAATCATTTGTTAATAGTTGTTTATATATCATTGTCAGTTTTTATTATATATATGGGAACTATTTAAAATTTTGAACTTTAATTGGTTAATAAAAGTCAATTCTGGTAAAATACTGACCTGTTCTTCTTAAAATCACTTTTATTAGTATTACTCAGATCAGTTTAGATATTCATATTAAATTATCATCGACCATGTTAATTTATTGCAAAATTAATATAGGTTTATTTAAAAAAAGAAAAGAAAACACTTTTTAAACATTCTTGACACATCCAAAATCACACTTATTATAAAGAATTATTTTTTAAACATCTCTTCTATATCTCTTTTACTTTTTGAGATAACTTAATTTATCACCTTATAAGATTCACTCTATAAATATTATAAACTATTTCAGTTTTAAACTTCTAAATGATAAATAGTTATAACATCTAATCACAACGTAACAATAATTAATCACTTTATACAATTCCTAAATATTATTAAAACGCACAATTTAAATTAATTTGCTTCGTACATACAATTATTTATATTGCATTAAGTAGATATAAGAATTAATATAAGCAATAAGTATATAAAATATACATATATATTTATTGTTCAATTTTGTTTTAATGATTCAGCATGATGCAGTTTTAAATAATTGAACCTTACATTGTTCCCTAATGCCAGTTCCTTATAATAGGAACTTGTGCTATGTTTACATACTAGATATGTACAAAATTTATATAAATGTGCTTCGTGTCTTTAAATTTGGTTCATTATTTTTATTAGTATATAAAATTGTTGAACATTAATACCAAAGGAAAAAAAGTGCTAAAAGTAGAATAATCTATTATTTCCACCCAAATTAATCTTAATATAATTAAAAAATTGTCACAGAAAAAAATTTTAATATTATAGATTTTTTTATATAAAAGAAAATTTCCTGTATCAGTTCTAATTTACTTATTTGTTTTATAACCAACATATTTGAGTTGGGTTGAGATTATAGGAAAGTACTAATGGAATTTTTTAAAGTAGTTTGTATCAGTGTTTTCATTTACATATTTTAATGCATCACATATATACATTTAGTAAGTAATAATTAATTTTATTATTTAATTTACACGTGTATTATCATAAACAGTTGTTACATCATTATTCTTAAATAAGTAAGTAGTAAAGTTTTATTATCATCAAAGGATTAAACTGTAAATTACATTTTGTTCTTTTTTAAATATTGTTTCATTATGCTAATTTGATTTATCTAAATAGCCTTATTATTGGATAAAAGAGATGTTGTCTATTACTTTATCTTAATAAATATGATCTAGAATCTTTTGGATGTAGTATTTCATGTTTCATTATAGCTGGTAATCGTTTAGTTTATTACTTTTTATATTGATGTTTATTTAACAATATTAATTTAATATTATATTTATGTACATATGTATATACAAATATATGAAATAAAATTCATATACAACTATTATTTGCCTCGTTATTGGTTTTATATACTGGTATAATTACGTTTGTATTGTATTTATAGATAACATAAAATTCTCAGATTTAATAAAACTTTCGTTTGAAAAAAACGTTAGTACATTTAGTTAGTTATAACGTTAGTTTATTTATAAAATAATAACTGATTTAGAATATTATTACTTACTGGGATACACCTTCAACATATGTATACATATAGTGGCCTTCTATATTTTATATTTAAACATGTTATAGAACATTTCTTTCTTATATTTTGAATAAACTCGAATTATAATAATTAATGTAAGTACTTGAATTGCACTGTAGAATTGCACTCTACATTTCACTGAGAATTTTGTTTAAATCTTTTACTTATTTTGTATTTTATTGTTTGATTTGTTATAAGATGGAATTTTTATGTTTAAAATGCAAGTACTTTTTGTTTTGAATCTTTAATGATATTATATATGAACACATGTTCTATTATACAGAAAGTACAGAAGTACGTAACGAAATTTGTTTTATTATTTTAAGAATCAAAATCGTGTGTAGATGACTACGAGAACGATGAATTTATGACTTCTTGTTTATGTGAGAATAAAAGTGATGCTAAACTTGAAGAATTATTATGGTATCATGGTGATACAAGATTGTGCACTATATACCCTCAAGTATGCATCAACTAATCATAATATACAAAATACATTTTAAATACAGCATAGTTGTTTAATTATTTAATTAATTGGTATTTTATCAGCAAAAAGTTGACATCTCAAGTTGGTTAACATACCAGTATGGAAAAACATACTTTCCTTTGTATGCAAATAATCACTGTGGAACTTTATTCCATTCCGAATACAGACTTTATATTCTTGTTGAAGCTGATCTTGACAGTTATAAACCCCTAGCAGCAACTAAAGCCACAAAGGTACTATTTCTACTTATTATAATTACTACTCAGAATGTGGTCACACGTCACAAGAAACATTTGGCTTAAGCTTATTCTGTATCTATATTGCGTTTTATTACTTTATATTTTTTTTGCAACAGAAATAATATTACATAGAAGACGATTTTTGTATTTGATAAAAACTATTTAAAATAAGCATTATTACATTTTATAATTTGATGATTATCGTAATTTAAATTTTTGTATTCAAGTAAAAGAAATTTCATAAACTGTACAACATACACATAAATGTATTTTCATAATAATAATAGTTACTACAAAACTTGTATTAGCAATATAAAAGTGCTTAGTAAAACAATTCAAACGAAAATTTTAATACCTAAGGTAAACTGTTATTAATGAAGTACAGAAATATGTTTAACTGGTAATATTTAGTAGAGTTATATGTTACATAATGATAGTTTAAGTATATTATATCTTTTAGGTTGAAGATTATGGTATAATTATTACATGGACGGCTGATAAAAATATTGATTTAATCATAGAATCTGATTTAGATATGGTCGCGAAATTTTTTATTGCAGCGATGGAAGGTCAATGTTACATTAATAATGGCCTGTTACTAAAACGTATAGAAAGTACGTACAAATCGAGAATTTGCTTATTAAAATTTTCAGATTAAAGTAGCTGTATACTTTTCAGCTGTCTTGATATCAGGAAAACCTTGCCTTTACAATAACGACTTATTGAATTCGCCTCCAACTAAAAGTAAGAATTTTAAATAATTAGTTAATGTTAATGAATGTAGCTTTAAATTAGTGTCCTTTAAATATGTAATTATTTTCAATATTATGTTATTGCTTAATGCTTTTAATGTGTAAAACTATTGAAATTGTAAATATTTTATTACTCTATATGTATATTCTGAATGCATTATTAGTTCATTTTTTACATTTATTCGGTTTAAATATTATTGTATCGTGAATTAGCCATCTTAAAATAAGAAATATGTATGCACATAGTATTCTTATTTCATGTAGAAGAATAATTTTGTAGATACATACACAGGGTAGTCCATATAAACTGTTACGAGTTCTTTCCTTAGGAACTAATAGGGACAGCAACATTTTTTTTATGTTCTTAGATCAAAGGGGACTTTTTATCTAATATACCTACTATAAAGTACTGTTGTTGCATCTCTCCTAAAATAGTTGCGGTGTTAATCTATATAGTACACAAGGCTTTACATTTTTAGATAGTTTATTTAAAAATAAATAGCATTTATCTGAAAAATTTGTTTATATCTTATATAATTAATGAAATATGATAAGAGATATGTTTCATTTGGAGAATTTCAAAGGTGAATGGAAATGAAATGGGCAATTATTTGTCGTGTATTTCTTACAATTAAGGTTATTGGAAATATTAACATAGTTAACTGAGATTATGATGGTGGAATACATTTCACGTTTGATGCGCTCTAATACGGATTATTATTGAACGGTTTCTTTTCGATTTTGATAAAACTTCGCAGGTTTGTAAAACAGTCAAAAATAATTATGAACAAATACTGAAATTTATGGGGTGAAATCACCATTTGAAAATTGATACCTTCAAGGCTATTTTGGAAACAATAAAAAATAAATTTATACCTCAAATTTGATAATTATAACAGTTTATTACTTAATATAATAATGTGATGAAAATGATTTTTTATAAGTTGCAAAAATTTAGAAAATAATTGAAGTTTAGCCCTTTGATGATAAAAAATTATTTTTATTTAACTTTAGAATCGAACAGCGTGCTTGAAAATATACATTCCATGTATGGAATTTTAGATATTATAGATAATAGCTTACCTGGTATCCAGGTGGCTCCTTAATGATGGAAAAGTTATTGTATTATCAGATAAAGCATTTTAAAATCATAAAGCTGACTAATCTTAACAACAAATCAAGATCTGAAAATATTTATAGACATAGCGTCGAAGTCTGAAGTTAATAAATTCAGGTAATATACGTTTTGCATACAGTATGTTCTTTCTTCATAAAAACTATGATGTGGGTAAATAAAATAATTGGAAGTAATGTTTTCATTTCATTAAATTTTCGTTTAAAAATACAAAATTTTATTAAAGAGTCTAACCGTGTAAGCATAGTGAATCGGCCTCGGCAACAATTTCGGTTAATATTTATAACACATAATGCTTTTTGCCTAAAGAACAACTGTGAGCAATTTCAACCCCCTATCCCCCTCCCTGGTAAAGGAGATATGAGGGGAACAACCCAAAACTTTACTATCTTTTTCCTTAGAAATTGTTTAAGATATTTGAATACACTACTGCTGCTGTATTTCATATATATATATTTTTAAAATTTTTACTCGATGATTAAGGGTTAAAAATCGTGGCGGGCTGGTGCAACGTGTTCCCTTGTAGGTCGGTTAGTTTGAGCGTCACTAACGTTCAGTGTGCCTTTTCCTTTTGAAGGGGCGTTATATTGGTTTTATTTCTTTTAATCATGTTGTATCAATCTAATACTCTTGAAACTTTTACAAATAATAGTTAAGTAATAAAGGATTATTCCTAATTTTTTCGGGGGGGGGGGGGGGGGGGGGGGGGTGTCACTCAAGGAGTTGTTTATACAAATCACCTTTAAAAATTTATTTATTAATTTTCAACCCTTAATTATCGGATAAAAATTTTGAAAAAGATATATAAATAATTTTACGTAATATGACAAAATGAATGTGCTATGAATATAATAATTTTCACTATGGATTACCTGCTACACAAGTGATGTACTGATAAGTTTCGAGGTTTTATTGAGGCATAATCTTATTGGTTCAGCTGATAACAATACTCTTCTGTATTTCTGTCTTCTATTCAGTTTTGGATCCGTCACATGATGGATGTAGGGTTAGTCATCATTCAAACTTACGAACTTTATACAACGATACTTCGATTAAAATTAGGCGTTTAAACATTTTAACATACAGGGCGTTTGACTGGGAGTGGGCATCCTTTCAGGAGGTGGTTGCTGGGATGATTCTAAACAACTTTTCCTTTACCAATTTATTTTTTACCAGATTTAGTTTTTAAATTATTAATGAAAAATACTGACCGATCAAAGCGTGAATGGGGTGCAGGCTTAACCACGGAAGTGTTGGGTATCAAAATCGGACTTGATCGTGATCGCGAACAAACAACTCGACACAGCGTTGGTAACAGTAAGTGTAAAAAAATGTATACTTATTTGCAGTCGAGAATCTTGTAACTATTGTCTGACGTTTACAGTAATGCTCGGCTAAATTTCACTAAAATCTGCTCGGTTAAATTTCCACGACCCAACCCCACTCTTCTCCCACCACTCAGCACAGCGAGCTTGGCGAAACCTGATCTCAGTAGATAAGGACAGAAAATGAATACAATGAAAAGAAAGAGAACAGACGCACATCAAATGGATGCCGCGACTGGAAAAAGTAAACATGCAGTAAAGAAAATTTTATTTTCAGTCATTTTCGTCTTACGTTTATAATTGTGGAACCGATGGATAGTTGACATTCTTCCGATTAAAATGAGTCCAAACACGATATAATTTGAACCATATTTACTGTACATGATCCATTATGATTTACATTATGATTAACTCTACGTGATTTCTTATGAAATCATTAGATAACGTAAATACAATCCGATTTACGTCGTGTTTGGACTGATTTCAATCAGAAGGATCTCAATAATTCAATGGTATAATTTTCATAAAAATAAGTTGAAAATTACAGATAGTGAAATTCTCGTTATTGCATGTTCACTTTTTTCACTCGCGGCATCTCTTTGAACTGCCTTGCCTCGACCGTCGATGCTAGACGTAGTACGTCTATCTCGCTTCCTCCTATCGTATCTATTCTCTTACTCCGTCAAGTTCTGCTCGAGTCAATTCTCGGAATAAAAACGCTACCCTGCTCCCGATAATTTCACTGCTGACTCCCGAAGGTACAGTAAAACCTGGATAAATTCAACCAAGATTGGGACCCAGTGGTTGCGTTTACCTAAGCACGGTATCGAAGCTCGGATGACACGCGACGACCAGCCAAGCGTGAACGTAGAAAGGGACAGACAGTGGTGGAAAGAGAGAGGTCCAAAATCAAAGGAAAGAGCCGAAACGTATCGGTGTGACTAAACTAATTGAATCAAAAAATTTTTTTATTTTTGACTTTTTTTGAGTGAAACTTTTACTAGCGCATTGGTGAGATTTTTGTGAGTAAAGTGGTACCAAACACGATATAGTTTCAATTATAATTACTTGCTAAAATTGATGTTATAAGTTGGCGAAAAGCAAGAGAGATCGAAATCCAAACCAGTCGCGGTGTCGGCTTTGGTTTCAAAGGTTTCATTTATCCTAGCGAGGAGTCGATTCTGGGCATTTAATGTTTCATTTATTCAAGCAAGGAGTCGATTCCGGGCATTTAATGTTTCATTTATTCAAGCAAGGAGTCGATTCTGGGCATTTAATGTTTCATTTATCCAAGCGAGGTGTCAATTCTGAATCCGTACACATGTTTTCTTTGTAGCCAACATGCCGATTCTGTGTCCGTACACATCTATTGTATTCAGCCGACATCATTTATATTCAGTCGTGGTCTCAATTCTATGTTGTTTATTCTATTACTATTGTTTATAAATATAATTCAACCTATATCGAGTTTGGTATCATTTTAATCAGAAAAATCTCACAAATGCATTAGTAACAGTTTCATTGAGAAAAAGTTAAAAATAAAAAAGTTTTATCGTTGAATTAGTATTAGTCACACGGATATTACGGTCGGATCATATTACACGGTTTCCTCGTCGAGCGGCTCGGTTCGCCTAGGGGGATCCCCCCAAGTGGAGGGGATAGCGATGTTTCATTTATCCAAGCATTCTTTCGTTGAATTTATCCAGGTTTTACTGTAGTGAAATTTAGCCGAGCATTACTGTACTATGTTATCCTCGCCGTTCTCATAGCCAACACTCCTGTGGTTGAGCCCGCGCGCTGTGCGGGCTCTAATTGGTCGGTGTTCTTCATTAATAATTTAAAAACTAAGCCTTAACGAAAGTTCTGGTAATAAGTTCAAAGCGCTAATACTCTTTCGGAGACACCCTGTATATCTAATTCTATTTTGTTATATACTAGCAAGTACTATATTTTCTATCCAGAATTTTTTCTAATTCCATATAAATATTAGAAATTACATGACATTTAATACATTGGGTGTTCCACTTAACTTGAGCACTTTGAATATTTTGTTTGCTTTTTGATACTGTAGTAAACAAAAATTGATTCTCAAGGTCATAATTTCCAACAATTCAAGGCTATAACATAATGGCTAACAAGGGGAGGCCGGGTCATCTGGGACACGGATTTTGATAGGGCTTACATATGCGGTAGTGTAGGTGTAGTACGACAACATATGTTTCAATGTTGGGTCCAACACTCAATCGTTTTCAAAATATTAATAAAAAAAGGTACCGATGCGTTGAAGAACAAGTACGTTAAGCTTTGCTACCGGAATAGAAAGTAGCGATGCTGGTAACGGGCCTGACTCGTAATCGAATGACTGCAGTTCGATTTCGGATGAAGTCGAATTTTTTTTTTAATTTTATTTTTTACATTCCAATATATGACAATTATCATAAAAACACATAAAACAATAAAATTCACGGCACCATACACATCTAATAAAGCATGCTTGATCGCACTTACATTTTTTTGTTTTAATTTCTCGTGGAAATTGCACTTGATTAACATTTAAAAGAACTTTTCTATTCTGTGTCAATTTACTTCATTAATTTACAAAATGTGTTTGGTACTCGTTTTTTTTATCAGCCCATCGCCGGGTAATTTGATGCAGCGTTGAAAGAGATGAGATAGACTCGTTCTCCTGTCTCTGATTTCGAATCTATCGGGTATTATCTGCGTTTATTTAATAAAGAGAAGGAAGCGATACAATATTTTGTTCAAGATATCTTGTTCATTTCGAGAGTCAGTTCTGGTTCATGCGTTGTCGGTTGCAGTTCGAGTATCGAGAAATTAAAACAAAAAAATGTAAGTGCTATCAAGCATGCTTTATTAGATATGCATGGTGCTGTAAATTTTATTGTTTTATGTGTTTTTATGATAATTGTCACATATTGGAATGTAAAAAATAAAATTAAAAAAAGAATTCGACTTCATCCGGAATCGAGCTGCAGTCGTTCGATTACGAGTTAGGCCCGTTACCAGCATCGCTACTTTCTATTATGGTAGCGAAGTTTAACGTACTTGTTCTTCAATGCATCAGTACCTTTTTTTATTAACATTTTGAAAACGATTGAGTGTTGGACCCAACATTGAAACATATATTGTCGTACTACACCTACACTACAGCATATGTAAGTCTCATCAAAATCCGTGTCCCAAATGTCCCGGCCTCCCTTTGTAAGCTCAGGGCCAATTCAGTAATCCATAAATAAAGGGGGTTGTAGCTTTCCAGGAAGTCCCGTTCTAAGCCTTTCATTTACTATGTTATAAATTCCGAAGTTTGGAATCCTTTATAATTTTGCAAATGTTCGATCCATTTGTTATTGCAAAACTAAATCCTTACAAACTTCAATTTATGAACCTCGGACCCCAGAAATCTTAATTCGGTCCTGCATGGACTTAAGGGATGACATTTTTTAATTGCAAAGTTGTATGGGTTTTCATACATAATAATGTGATATTTATAATATTCTAATATTTCAAAAATAATGGTGGTAGTTATTTTTATATTAAAGTTTATCCTTTTTAATGATAATAACTACAGATGATATACACACGACTGGCTCAAGGCCTTTTTCAAAGCAAGCTATTTTCCATTTTTTACGCTCTCCTATTATCCCCACTCCCCCTCCAAACATAAATAAGATTAAGGAGGAATTAAAGAATTAAAATGCGATACTCCATCACTTTATTATAATTTAATTATATTAATCATTAATTTGCCTTTTAAAAATTTATTTAAAAAAAATTATAACTTATTTTTTTCTTTTCTAATGTTTTGATCTGTGCTTTGGTCAATGAGTAATATAAAGAGAGGAAAAGCTGAGAAAAAAATTCTAGAATTTTATATGTTAGCGCTCTTTCCGAATTGCGCATGAAGCTATTGTCTCATTAGCTTGTTATCTAAGCCAACCCTGCTTATAGACTTAATTTTGAATTCAACTACATGTTTGAGGATATACAGAATGTCCAATTATAATCTGTGAATGCAAATTATTCGTAAATTACCCGTTACATGAAAAAATCGTTCAGAGAGAAACTGAATGATTTCGAGGGGGATATACAAATGTGATGTAATTAATTTTTTGATGGATGGACGGTTAAATGTCATACGAAGGTGACATATAATTTTTTAAATAGAATCACGTTGTTTTTAATGCATTTGTCAATACAGCTATGTACTAAGGTATTTATGTCAAAAAACCATTAGTTTAAGATACTTACAAGGGTAGTTCGGTAACTCGAAAATTCCGATTTTTTTAAACTTTTCAGGTTTGTAGGGGACCTTAAGAGAAGTATAGCGCAATTT